GGGGTAGCCGGTAGCATGAAGCCTCAACTCTAAAAACCCTGAACCACTCGGCATCCTCCGCTCAGACCTGTCCTCGGCTTCACCGCAGCGAGCGCGGAGGCAGTCGACTTCCTCGCGACGCCGCCTACAAGGGTTCCTGTACAGGTTCCCATAACAATTATAAAGTTTCCTAGAGGGGGTTCTTCTTCAAGCTTCAATATTTCTGCAGGCTATTCAAGCTACACAGAGCTCAGCGTCTCGGATTTATGTTCAGGGTGCCGACGGTGTCGCCTCCAGGATTCGGGTCCTACACTGGCAGTCGTGTTGCATGAACGCCGCAGGCCTTTCTGAGGCTAGTCTAGTCGCTAATGTTGACATCAGAGTTTGAACAAAACCCTTGAGGGTGGACTTGAGTAACTTTGAAGCACATCCGATACCTCGCAGCCCCTGCACGTCGCGCTAGAAGCTGTGCTATACCGAGTGCTATACCGAGACCCTTTGACGTCCGTAGCGTCATGGCGATCAAAAGCAAACCCGTCGGAAGGATCCGCCGACCAGGATGCAAACATGAGATGATGTGGATAGCTAAAGGCTCCACAACCTCGCAGCCCGACAAGGAAGGTTAAAAAAGCCCCCCTGCAGGGCTCTGCTTAGGAACTAGTTTGGACTTCTTGTATTAATTAGTGACAAAATCCCAGAGTTCTATTCAAAATTGTCATCTTTATGATGGGCCCAAGGGAGCTATAGCCTGATACAGCCATAAGCTCCCCAGTTTTCATCCAAGACAAGCACTCCGCGCGATGCGTCCCTGGAGCAATGGCCTGCGCAGCTCGCGATGACTACCTGGCAAGACGACCAAGAGGAAGGCTACTAGACGGTTTAGGGGTTTAGGGTTTAGGGGTTGAGGGTTTAGGGTTTGCGCGGTTGTAGGTTTTTCTGTCTGTGGCTCACAGGTTATAGCCTATGAGATGGGGTAAATGATGTGGCTTGGTTCCCCTGCCGCGCACATTCCCAGTCGATGTAAAATGACTCTAATACGGGGTTGTGATGAAAAACCCTCCCTCCTCCCGCCCAAGGATTGGGAAGAAGCCGTCGACCCAAGCCGGTTTGCAAGGAAGAGAAACAACAAAACTATCCACCGAAAGAAACCCTTGACAAACTCCGAGCCCTAAACTCTAAGCCCTTAACTCTAAATCCTTAGCCGTAAAGCCTCGGTCGTCCCAAACTCGACCCCAAACCTCCAAGAACTCTGTTACAGTACCTATGAGTATCGTTGCAAGGAATCCGAACAAGCCGAAGACACAATTACAACTATATTAAGCCCTTATTATGGCCATATTAAGCCCTTATGAAGGCCATATTAAGCCCTTATTAAAGCCATATGAAGCCCTTATTAAGGCCATATGAAGCCCTTATTATGGCCATAGGAAGCCCTTATGAAGGCCATATGAAGCCCTTATTATGGCCATGCTGTCCCAGGCTGGGAGGTCGAGGAGACGTCCTGGCCCGAGGCGAGAGGGCTGTGCACTCTCGTTTTGGTCGCATAATGTCATGTACTATCTGAAAAAGCCATAGAACATCTAATTGTCATAATATCTTTTGGTCATAACAGCATGCCATCACAGTATCATAGTCGCAGAATGTCATGTGCCTGGATAGTTACCAATAGTTTGCTTTAAGGTTCCTTATGCGTGTTATAATGTACAATCCCCAAAACATTATTCTAATTCTCAAAACCCTATGTTAGTTTAGGTTTTAAGGTTCAAAGAAACAAGATTGTAATAGTACTAGTAGTGATGCGTAGCTGCTACTGTATTTAAGCAAAAGACCAAGCGATGCGAATATATTAATCAGCAAAGCTAGTCCATAGTTTTTCGGGTTATGCGGTAAGACAAACCAACCACCCTCCCCACCAATAAACCATAGTCTAGAGATGGGTTTAGGTATTATGTATTGAAGCTCCTTTCTGAGACCCGACCCGCACAGCGTCGGGCGAGGGGCGATCAGCTTGGTCCAGCTTCACTCAGACCAAACAGTTCAGGGTTTAGGGCCTGGTGTAGGGTTTAGGGTTTAGGGCCTGGTTGTAGGGTTTAGGGTTTAGGGCCTGGTGTAGGGTTTAGGGTTTAGGGCCTGGTTGCAGGGTTTAGGGTGTAGGGCCTGCGTGTAGAGTTTAGGTTTAGGGTTTAGGGTTTAGGGTTTAGGGTTTAGGGTTTAGGGTTTAGAAGTGTAGGGTTTAGGGTCCATATGCATACACCGCCCTGCAGCAAACACCTAAACTCTAAACCCTAAACCCTCTAAACTCAAAAAAATCAGAAAGCCTGGACCCTGCCTCGAGGCTTCATGTGGGGCGCCGGGGGAGCAGGAGCTCGTAGACCAGGTTGACTCCCGGCCAGGAATTCATTGCTGTAAGCATACTATAAGTGCAAGGGTTGTTATAACGATAAGGTTATGACAGCTAAAAGGCTACAGTGACTATAACTGTAAGGTTATTACAAGAGGGATGGAGGCGAGGAGGGCTGGAGATCCACACAGGTGTGGGGCAGTTGATGTTGCTCTTCTTGCCTGCTTTCCGATGCTTCTGAGCTTACTCCAAAGACGATGACGGTGCGCCCGATGACAGTCTGAATATCTTGCTATGTATCATCATGGCGGTCATTGTGTCTCGTGCAGGAGGCCTGGGGTTTCGGATTTCATTCAGGGGTGGAGGCAGAAGGAAGAGGGTTGTGCAGCTGACTTGAACAGGAAAAAGAATCTCGCTTGATGCAACCCAAGCAGGAAAGCTGATGCTGCATGTCTCACTACCATTTGTCGCCACTGCAGCATTATCATGGCCACGACTCACGCATTGTTTCTTCAAAACTATTGCGGCTATTGCTGCAGCTATTGCGAACACCATGGCTGGTTCGACTGTTGTTGCTGCTGTCTCCGATCTTCAGCCAGTGTGAACCTAGACCCTAAACCCTAAACCCTAAACCTTACCAAAGCTTAAATTGTGCCTTTCCCGCTGTCCTTGGAGAGGCCCAAAACCCAAGTCATGAGCAGAAACAAGGTCGGAAAGCTCCTCCACGCTGGGATGATCGCGCTTTGGCTCAACTTGGAGTTAGGGTTTAGGGTTTAGGGCTCAGGGTTCAGAGTTTAGGGATGGGCCTTAGGGTTTAGGGCTTACAATCCAGGGTTTAGGGTAAAGAATGGTCTTCTATCAGGTCAATGACAGCCGGACCAGCTTCTGCTGCTCCGACTACTACTACGACGACTGCTGCTACCGTGCCGTGCCACTGCTGCTTCTGCTCCTGCTACTACGACGACGACGACGACGACGACGACCTCGACGACGACGACGACGACGAGGAGGAGGAGGAGGAGGAGGAGGAGTAGTAGTAGTAGTAGAGTTTTCCATACTATCACCAACTCGGCCATCCTCACTATCATGATCTCCCTGAACCCTAAGCCCTAAACCCTCCCTCATGGTGCTTCCAAAGCCTGGGGCTTTGGATCGGAGCCACTGGGAATTTTGTCATTTCGACTCTGCAGTTCCTGGGTCCGTCGGGGGTTTGGAGCACAGGTTCCAGCAGGGGAGGAACCCTTCGGGGTTTTCTGGGCACTTGTTGGAGAATTGTTGTAATAAAAGCCAATAAGGATGTAAAAAGGATGATTTTTAATGTATCCCCAACAGGGAACCTGTTTAGGGTTACGATTGACACCTGAAGCCATAAACCCTACGCCCCATAAACCGACACCCGAAGCCCTGCACGCTAATGGAGCAAGGCTGATGACGAAGGCCTCTATACTATAGAAGCGCATATAGAACCTCTAGTACCGAATAAGCCCAAGTCTAAATATGTGTACTTCAGTTGTACTTTAGCCTACCTCCAAACTCTACTTTTTACGTTTCTGTTTGAATTCTATATACGTTTTTGGGGGGTTCGCTATCTGACATCTTGTGAGGAGCTTGCGGAGCTCTCCTCGCATTTCGGACAGCGCTTCAACGCACAGGTCCGAGTGCCCTGGCTGAAGCAGGAATCATCAGTAATGCTAGCCCTAAAAAGGGTTCCTGATAGCTATGAAGGCCCCTAGATTAGTCAGGAAACTGGGGTTGTGCAAAAGTACCGGGGGTCTACAAAGGATCCACATAAGGGTCCTATGGGTGTAGGCCTTAACTAGGGCTTCAGAGTTCTTGGGGCTTTGAGGTGGCTTCAGTTTTTGGGGCTGTTGGGTTTTTGTTGATTGCTGTTGTTGCTGTTAAGCCAAAACATGTGCAGTCGCAATGGTGACTAGAATAACCACAGTGCTTATTGATCGTAGCTGCGATGGTGATGGTGACACTCTTGTTCAGGTGACGGCCTAAGTGATGCCAGCTGCTGCTGCTGTCTGCACGGACCGGACCGTGCACTTGGAACAAGAAATGCTGCTTCTGATGCATAAGCTTGTTAGATGCTGCCAGTTTATTGTGCGTTATACCTTTCCCCTGCCGTTTTGGTAGTAGCTCAGAAGTATTTCGTACCATGCTTTGCATATTCGTTCTGTTGCCATGCGATTCGCTATTGGTACTCTCGTCGCTACGCCCACCCCGTCCTTTTCATATGTTTTCCCCCTCTGCAACAGATGACCTGAGTAGGTGCTCCCCATCAGCGATCCCGATGATATCTCGTCTTGGGGTACTCCAGCGGGCCAAGGCAAGTCACCTCAGCCCGTACGCCCCGGACAAGCGGAATGACGGCAGCTTCAAGCGATGGTGGCTCGGCGCAGGAGGGTGCACTCTGGCAGGTGCACCATCAAGCAGTTGGTTGAGAGAGAGAAGCTGACTTGGTGACTGACAGTGACCCCATGACTCTGGATCAAGTCCTTTGACGGAGCGTCGGAAACCTCGGCGCAAGTCTTCTAGCATGAGCATGGAACAACACTGCAATTGCTTTCTAGGGTACTTCAGAAGCAGCACTAGGAAGGTCCAGAGACACCTGTAAGAGGCTGCTGGGCAAACGCCTGCGCCCTTGCGTTCTGGGAATCGTCGAAACGTCGTCGCCATGGCCTTCGTGACGAAGTTCGCGTTCGCCATGGGGCTGCTCCTCGGGCCTCTGGCTCCACGGCTGGTCGGCTTCTGCCTGCTGATGATGAGCATGTGGTCTCTGAGGCTTCAGCCCCGGAAGGTCCTGGACATGAGCTGGCTGGACCTTCTGGTGGCCTTGAGGGCCACTTGGCGGCGCCGAGACCGCAGTAGCCTGGAGCAGGAGATCTCCAGGAGCTGGGGCTCCGAGGTGCTGGTGACACTTTCGGTGAGATCGGGGTTCGATCTGCTTCTCTCGGCTTTGGCGCTCCCGAAGGGATCCGAAGTCCTTTTCATCCCCGGCATCACCATCCCAGGAATGGTTCAGATAGTGGAAGCCCATGGGCTCCAGCCCGTGGGGGTTGACCCACCTTCGCCGACTCAGATGCTCCCAGCCAAGCTGGCTCCCTTCGTGACGCCGCAGACCCGCATGGTTGTGATCTCGCACCTCTTCGGGAGCATTCACAAGGCCGGGGACCTGATTCGAGAGGCCCAGGCTCTGGGCCTGTTGGTTGTCGAGGATTGTGCGCAGTCCTTCATAGGCAGTGCGCCGACGCGCTCCCTGGCTTGTGCCTGGCCGATGGGCTTCCGTGGCCACGAGGTCTCCGATGTCACGCTCTCCAGCTTTGGCAACATCAAAACCTTGACGGCCTTGGGAGGGGGCGTCGTCCGCGTCCGTGACGCCAAGCTGCGTTCTCGCATGCGGGAGATTGAAGCTGCATGGCCGGTACGGAGCCGGGGGCAGAGGCTATGGACAGTTTTCCGAGCGGTTATCTCGAAGCTGTTCCTGACGCCCATGCTTTACGGGCTGTTGGAGGCGGTGATAGCCATGCTGGGTCTGGACTTTGACCGCCTCATTGTAACTTACGTTCGTGGCTTTGCCAAGTTGGAGTATATCCGACAGCAGCCCACTCTGGAGCTTCTAGAGCTCTTGCTGTGGAGGCTGCAGTCACAGCAGGCAGCAGCCTTCGAAGACACCTCGCTGCGGTCTTCCGTCAGCCGCCGCCGGCGCCTGGCCAGGATCGTCATCGACCGCTTGGAGAAGGAAGGCATCGAGTTCGTGTCCAAGGGCGACGGCACGAATAGTTGGTGGCTTCTGCCCATTCTCTGCGACCGGGTTCTTGTTGGGGAACTTATAAGGTTTTGGTGCCACAATGGGGATGTGTGCTTGCCGGAACGACAAGAACTTTATAATGGCCTTCTGAGATGGTAGACGTCGTCCACCTGTACCTTAAAATCCGCGTGAACATAGCCTCCTTGACAAAAGCCCAGGTGATGACCCGAGGCGGATGGCCAAAGAGCTGGTCTCCCGCGGCTTCGACGCCACGAGCACCACCACGCAGCTGCAGCGCGTGGTGGCGGCTGCAAGCTGCAAGCAGCAGGCCTTGAGGGTCTCCGATGGGCAGGACCCGAGGCGATGTCGTTCTACGGTTGCAATGGGGCTGAGAGGGCAGCCAATCCAAAACTCGCACCGGAGGACTTCATGAACCGCGTCGTCTACCTGCCCTTGACACCCATCCTGCGAGAGGCCAGTCCCAAGGGGTCCTCACCCTCCGAGCCTCGGAGCCCTGAGCAGGCGGAGGCTGCGGCCCTGGCCGAGGCGACCCTGGCTGCCCGAGAGGCCATGCGATGCGGCGCGGCAGCGCCCCAGGGCCGTCCAAATGCAGGTGCTGCACAGGGACTGTCTGCCGATCAGGGCAATCATAAACGTACCGACATGCCAAAACCTCGTACTAGTAGAGATTCGTTGACGTATGTACCGTGTCTAGGTACTATGCACACAGACATTGACATAAGACACAGATACAAGTGCAAAAGAGGCGTGTACATCATGCAAGGATGTATATATGTACGCACGTCTGTATGTCTGTACGCCTGCATGTCTGTCCGTCTGTCTGTCTCTCTGTCATTCATGCATGCATGCCTGTATGCCTGTATGTGCTGTCTGTATGTGCTGTATGTACTGTATGTACTGTATGTACTGTATGTTCTGTATGTATGTATGTATGTATGTATGTATGTATGTATGTATTGCATGTACTGTCTGTTTGTACTGTACATACACACTGTGTGTACTGTATGTACTGTATGTATGTATGTATGTCTGTCTGTCTGTCTGTCTGTATGTATGTATGTATGTATGTATACCTATGTATCTTGCTGTATGCAGCCCTGTATGTAGTTTTGTATAAATGTAGCTGTGTATGTATCTATGTATCTAGCTATGCTTGTAGGCATGTATGGATGGATGAATGCATGGATGTACTCTATATCTACATCTATATTTGTATCTGTCTCTATATCTATACCCATTTCCTATACCCATTTCTACATTGAGTCTACATCTAGATCTACATAGATTTCTATGCCTATCTCTGTTTCCGTATCTATATCTGTATCGGTAACAATGTCGATATTTATATCTGTCTCTACCTCTCTGCATAGAGAACATACATATATGTGTTTATGTGTTTGTATACATATACACGCACCACACAGTTGCACATACATACCAATTAGATCAGATACAGACGTCCCCTCTATGTCTCTGTAAGATATGCAGGAATCTCGGATCCCACAAGCGCACTCACACGTACAGGCAAGCGCGCGATCTCCGGTTTCGTTCGTGCGCCTGTCATGCCCCTTTGAATGTGCACATGTCTGATTGTTGGTGTATAAAGATTGCTTGTAGCGTCCATACGTAATCGCATCCACAAGAATGGTAGCGCATTTCGACACATTGCAACAAGAGGAAAACAAACGGAAACAACACCCGGCATGATGTTGAAACAAAACATACTATGCAGTGGTTGTCGTTGCAGTAGGAGGGACGGAGGATCAGCAAGAGCAGGAGCAGTAGCGAGCCTCGTCATGTTCGTCGTTTTCGTGGTCATCGTCACCGTCGTCGTCGTCGTCGTCGTCGTCGTCGCATTGAGCATACTACTGTAGCAGTGCTACTCGTAGGGTGATAGTAACTCCAGCTTATGAACAAGAGTAGCAAGGGTAAGAGGCAGCGCGCTTGTAGGCCGCAGCGCAGCCCAAGCGAGCATGTTGGTAGGATGCATTCTGCCCTGATCCTTTTCAGGCAGCAGCCTGCTGGTTTCCCTTCTTGGCCTACTCTTTCTCGCCTGGCCTGGGCTGATGACATGGTTCCTACCTTCGACGAGCACCATGCGAAGCCTGATGTGTTGGGCCGGAGTTTTGGGCATCGTGGTCCTGATTCTCGTGAGGTGGCTGGCAGCAGACACGGGCCTGAGACTGGACCCTAAAGTCCTTGAGGCTCTGCCTCCTGTGGTGCGGAGTGAGGGCCTGGAGGTTTGCAAGAAGATGCCCCTGAGTGTACGTATTGATGGAGCTGTGCTCTTGACTGGTGGTACCGGCTTCGTGGGCGGTGGCATCCTTTTCTCCTTGCTGGCACGGGCTGAGGAACTGGGCATCACAAAGATTGTGCTCATGGTTCGGCAGCGCTCAGGCAAGAGTCTCGCGGAGCGCCTCCAGAAGCTGCGGGATCACACCATGTTCGACGAAGTCCGCGAGACCTTCGACAAGCTCGTTGTGGGCCTCGAGGGCGACACTTCCCAGCGGAATTTCGGATGGACAGAGGCGCAGCCGTCGTGGCCACACAGGGAGTCCTTGAAGGCCGTCCTGCACTGCGCCGGGGACGTCCGCTTCCAGCAGCCCATGCAGCAGGCTGCCGTGTCGCTGATCTCTGCGACGCTCCAGATGCAGCAATTGGCCTCGCAGTGGAAGGCCAAGCGCTTCCTCTTCGTCTCCACCGCTTTTGTGCATGCAGTGCCGCCGCCCAGCACCGAAGCACTGCAGGAGAGGCTGGTGGAGCTGCGGGATTTCGATGCCATGGAGCTCTACCGGGATGCAATGTCCCACGGTGGTTGGGCACAGACAGCCATGCGAGAGCTTGGCTTTCCCAACACCTACACATTCTGCAAGGCCGTCGCTGAACACCTCGTGATCCGAGCGTGTGATTCCGAAGGCCTGGATGTGCGGATTGTCCGGCCTTCCATCGTAGGCCCCGCCTGGGCGTATCCTTTCATTGGATGGGCGGGAGACAAGCCCTCCACCATCGTGGGTGCAGGGACTCTCCTTGCGAAGCGCGGGGTCCGCGCCTTTCGGGACGCCTTCGACCACCCCTGCCCGGTGGTGCCCGTGGACATGGTGGCGGACATCTCCGTGACGGCCTTGGGCGGAGCCTTCAGCAGCGAGCACGGACGAATCTTCCAGGCCTGCCTGGACTCTTCGGAGGCGCACCAGATGCCATCCTTCCGATTCTTCACTGCCCACTACTATCAGTTGCTGGCGCTCAGGGGGAGCCTCTCTCTTGCAGAGCTGGGCCTCATGGCCAAGCTATTGCGCTGGTGCGACAATGCCACAGTTTTCCACATCGTGCATGCCCTCATCAATGTCCTGCCCATGAAGCTCTTGGGCCTTCTTCGCATTTGTATGGAGAGGATCTTCGCCTTGGTGGGCATGAGGCTCAGCAAGCAGTTTTCCACAATGGTGAAAGTGCTAGAATCCTGTTGCACGTTGCCGATGCAGTACCATTCGTTCTCGAGTCCATGTGTGCCCTGGCACTTCCAGTCGACCCTGCGATTGCCAGAGCAGTGGGACTTCCATGAGTACTTCTTGATCTGCTGCCGGGCCGGCTACGCCTTCGCCCGGCCGAGTGCTGGGCAGCTGCTGGCTCCAGGGCGCAACTATGCCAAGGAGTTTGCAGAGATCCAGATCTTCGGCCCCAGCTCGGTCCTTTCGGATCTCATCACCGCCTTCGCGCACCCGAATGCTGGGCCCCTCTATGCGGTCGCAGCCTTTGTGGTGAGGCAGGGCCTGAGTTGGTTGAACCTCACAGTGACTGTGGATGGTGCCTCTCTGCAGTCTATCAGCAAGCTGGATGTGCCCTTAGTGCTATGCCCACAGCATCGCTCCGTTCTCGACTTTGTGATCATCGGGCTCACCTGCTTCCAGCTGCAGCCCGTTCTGCCTGCATTACAGCTCCCCCAGGTGGCAGCAGACGCCGAATTCTCTGGCCTGCCCTTTCCTTACTGCTCTGACTCTGTGTAGTTGGCACGGTGTGTAGAGCACAGCGAAACAAGCCCTAAAACCAACACGCTGAGGCCCTTTCTGGGATGGGCCCTGGCCGGGCTGGGGGCTTTCTTCGTGCGCCGTGGAGGGGGCTCGGTGCAGCCGGACCCCGCTCTGAGAGCCAAGGTTGCTGGGCTTCTATATATATATATACACGTGTATATAGGTAGATATAGATATAATAGATATAGATAGATAAGATAGACAGACAGACAGACAGACAGACAGACAGACAGACAGACAGACAGAGAGAGAGAGAGAGAGAGAGAGTTGAAAAGCAGACGACCATGGGTGTCCCAAAGATGTACTGAGCTTGAACCCGTGAGGAAACTTTGTAGTAACATCGCTCCGGGGGACAGCACACCTTTTCACACCCCCTGAAAACCCCATGAAATTTGGGGGGCCTACTGGCCGGGGGGTCTATCCGACCCCTCATGCCCTGGGGAAGAAGAAGGAGAGAGAGAGAGAGAGATAGATAAGATAAGATAAGATAAGACAAGACAAGACAAGACAAGACAAGACAAGACAAGATAAGATAAGATAAGATAAGATAGAGAGAGAGAGAGAATGAGTTAATAATGGGGATATATATATATATATATAGAGGATATACATATATATATATAGTAAAATATAGTAAATAGTTGGGGGTTCCTTGTTGCAGTAAGTTAATCTAGGATCCTTAACAGCAGCCAAGGTTGGCAAGGTCTTTCGGAGCGGCCGGCCCCTGGAAGTCTTCCTGGAAGGCAGCGAGATACTTGTTGTAGTGGCTTCAATGTGTCATTCAGAATAAGTTAGGGTTTAGGGTTTAGGGTTTAGGGTAATACGATTCAGATGCTCTTCCTTGACTGCTTGCTTCTGGAAGGTGGGTAAGAACTAGATTTCTAACCTGGAGGCCTGCGCAGCCGCGGACGCAGGCAGCTGCGGCTGCGAACTGGGTTGCTGAAGGCTTTGAGGGACATTTCTCAGAGGACCGGGAAGAGCATGCGCGGGCACGTCACGGTGTAGCAAGCCGCTTCTTGATTTCTGCCCTTCCCTTAAAACTGCCCTTAAATAGGACGGTGGCGCTGGTGCCCCTGGCCATGTCCTACGAGCTCCTACCCGAGGACGAGAGCCTTTATCGGGAGATTTGCGGGCTTCCTCGGGATCCGCTCCGCAGCCTGGACCTGGTTTGGTGGATGTTAAGAGGCCTGAAAGGAGAGCTGCCGGCCTTAGGGGAGGCCTTCATGCGCTTTGGGGTGCTCCACACCTTGGACGCGTCCAGCAACGTCGACCACTTGGTGTCGGATGTGCAGAGGGAGCTGGTCGAGCTGTCCTCGGTGACCACCCTGCACTGCCGTGCCCTTGGAGAGGTCTTGGGCTTCGATGCCAAAGAGGTCGTGGCCTCCTTGAAAAGCCAGGTGCCTCTACGAAGCTCCTGCGTCCCAGAGAAGCCCGGCCCAATGCCGCCTGCAGAGTGCTGGCCGCTGGTGTTGCAGGCTGGGTACGAAGCAGGGGCCCGAGGGTGACGAAGCAGAAACTGCGCATAGTAGAGCTGCACTCCGTGTGCGGATCGTGTCATGTTTAACGTCACAATGTAGCTTTGGGTCAGCCACGATCAGGGAATACATGCAGATGCTACGTATTTTTGCTGTACGTCGGTGTCTCGCAGGCCGCGACGTTGAGCCCGATTCGGCGCCGCCTGCCGCGCCACTGGGGCCGATGGCTGGTGGAGGGTCTGGCAGAGGACGTAGCCAACGGGAAAGAGACAGGCAGGGTCCCCGGTGCTCGTGTCTCTTCTGCCTTCGCGAAGTTTCAGCTGTCAGCCGGCGCCCAAGGCGAGAGCGAGTTGGCATCGGGAGCCTTGGATCTGAAGGCGCTGGCAGGCGCTTTCGAGTCCCACCTCCTGGCTGCGGAGAAAGCCGCGGAGCAGGCCAGCGAGGTCTTGCGACAGAGCGGCACCGTGGAGATCACGGAGGAGCACTTGGTGCAGCAGCTCCTTGGGACCGAAACGCCCCAAGTGCCTCCGCCTCTGGCCCAGGGGGCTGCAGCGATCGTGGCCTCCCGCTTCAAGTCCACACGCTCCCTCGGCGCCTCGGTGAAAGGCAAGCAGCCCGTCCGAGGATCCGTTGCACCGGTCACTCCTTTATGGCCGGCGCATGAGGCTGACCAGCTCAAGAACGAGGAGTCCTTGGATCGCTGGGGTTTCAAGGACACCAAGTTTGTGGCTCAGTACGTGGACGGAAAACCGGCGGCGCAGATCTCCTCCCAAAGATACAAGGCCTTCGGCCGCCAACCGCTCTTCCGACTGTGGGATCTCTTCCAACGTCAACTCGCCGTGCCTCTCAACGTGCGGGACATGATCGCCGATCGCCCAATGCCAGAACTGCCGAAGCCCGCCGAGGGGTTGGAGGAGGTCTTGAGAAAGGTCTTGCCTTCTGGTAGAGCGCACTTCGATGCCGAGTCCCGGATCCGTGCAGGAACCGGCCATGGCCTCGCAGATATCTGGCGTCTCCGGACTCGGCAGATGGTGCGCTTCGCAGATGCCGTGGTCTCTCCCATCAGCGAGGAGGAAGTGCAGGCTTTGCTGAAAGCCGCAGTGGACTTCAATCATGGCAAAGGTTTCGGCGTCATTCCTGTTGGGGGCCGGACAAACGTCACCTCCGCCACGTTGTGTCCACCCAAGGAAGTCGACCCGAGACCTTTTGTGGCTCTCGACATGCGCGGCCTGGCCAGTGTGCTTTGGGTGAATGCAGAAGATGGTGTTGCAATGATCGAGGCAGGGATCACCGGCATGAACCTAAAGGATGCACTGAAACAGCACGGGGTCACCATGGGCATGGAGCCGGATTCGATGGAGCTCTCAACGTTGGGAGGTTGGATCGCAACTCGGGCGAGTGGGATGAAGAGGGCCCGTTACGGCAACATCGAAGACATGGTCCTGGAGGTGCGCGTCGTGACGCCCACTGGGCCGATTTGGCAGCGGCACGGTGATCCTCGAGTTCCTGCGCAGTCGCAGACGGCAATCGGCCGCGCCTCCACCAACATCGGCTTGCCGGCTTTGGTGCTGGGCAGCGAGGGCTGCCTGGGGATCATCACTTCCGCAGTCGTCCGCGTGCGGCCCTTGCCTGAGGTTGTGGAGTACCAGAGCATTGTCTTCCCGGACTGGGACCGGGGTGCAGCGTGGATGCGCGAGGTGGCTCGGATGCCCGCTGGGCTGCGCCCGGCCTCCTGCCGTTTGATGGACCAGAACCAACTGGAGCTCGCGCAAGCGCTGAAGGAAGGCTCGGAGCAGAAGACGGCTTCTAGCAACCTCCGGGCCAGCCTTCGGGAGGCCTACCTGTACTGCAAAGGGGTGTCGCTAGCACAGGCATCTGCGGCAACCTTGGTTTTCGAGGGCACTCATGCCGAAGTCAAGCTCCAGATGAAGGAGGTCAGCAAGCTGGTGTCCAAAGCAGGCGGTATTTGGGGCGGTGCCTCTTCGGGGGCAGCGGGCTACACGCTCACCTTTGCCATCGCCTACTTGCGAGACTTCGGGCTGGACTACCGCATCTTAGCAGAGTCCTTGGAGACCATGGCACCTTGGTCGGCCATCCACATGGTCTGGCCCAAGGTTACAGCCTCTGTGGCCCGGAAGCATCGGGAGTTGTGCCTGCCGGGCAGGCCCTTCATGTCCTGCCGCATGACCCAGCTCTATGACGAAGGAGGTGTCTTGTACATGTACATTGCAGTGTGCACGAATGGCCTGGAGCCAAAGCGTGCTCTGGAGGCCTTTGAGAGTTTGGAGCACACAGCTCGAGAAGCCATTTTGGATGCTGGAGGCTGCTTGAGCCACCACCATGGCGTCGGGAAGCTGCGAGCCTCTCTCCTACCTCAAACACAATCCCCAGCACTGACCCAGGTGCTGCGGGACTTCAAAACAGCCCTGGACCCGTCAAATGTACTGGCTGCCGGAAACGGCATCTGGGCTGCTTCCCCTGCTGAAGACTCCGATGACTTGCACAGCATTGAGAGCGAGCCTTTGCAGTCAAGCATGAGCTGAAAAAAGTGATGACAGCGGGCACCGGCAGGCTGCCTGTGCACTCTTCTTGGCTGTCTTGCTTCGGCCGGAGCACGTGAATGAATAAGACGTTGCTAGGGTTCCGGTGCTTTTGCCGTGAGTTTGAGCCGAGGTTGAAGGATTGTGGCTTCAATGTGAGCGACGTCTATGAGGGCAACAAGGCCCAGATTGCCCCGCAACGACAGGATTCAGTACTTGAGCATGGAAGCCTGAATGTTTAGTGATGCTGTTGGAGCTGCTATTCTGATGGGCTCCTCATTGTAACCATACCATCCAGTCTGCACTACATGATGCCTCAGACCCCTAACCGTGTTTTAATTGTCAACATCCCTTATATTCCTAAACCCGAAAAGCCCTAAACCTAAGCCTTATGCCTTATATTCCACTCGTTGATCTGCCGCCCATAGGCCATGGTCTACGCTCCTTCCGGGGGCCGGGAGGCGTGTGGCCAAATTGACAAAGTGCCGTGGAAGTTCGCCTAGGGTTTAGGACCGTTCAGGGTTTTAAGGGATTTCGGGTTTCGGGTTTAGGGTTTAGGCTTAGGGTTTAGGGCCTAGGGTTTAGGGTTTAGGGGTTAAAGGCATGGGTACTGAGTTTTCTCTCAAGCTCGTGACACGGTCAGATAACCAGATGCTTTGCTGTTCGCACCAGTGGTTTTGCAAATCTGCCCTGGGCCCCTAAACCCTATAAGCCCCAAAGTCACAGTAGTTCTGTGCCGGTGTATCCTCAACGTCGAAGCTGCGCAGGCCTCGGACGCAAGGCGCAGCCGCCAAGCCTTGAACTACGTTGCCGGCGACAGCATCGAAGCCGAGGCGTTGAGGGTTTAGGGAGGCTCCATTGATCTTTGCGCGTCTGCTGCAGTTCCGAAGAAGCGGATGTGCCAAATTACCTCTCGGGGTTCAACTTACAGCCGCATGCCAAAACCCTCATATTTGCCGGGACTGGAGTTGATCCCTAAACCCCGAACCAGAAGAGCAGGACTCCTTCCGTCAACCCGCGGACGCTCGCTTGTCCGTTGAGCTCGGCGGTTGGGGTGCCGGTGCAGCACTGGCATCTTTGGAGGGGAAGGCCACGAGATTTCGCATCTTTCTTGGCACAGGTTTAGTCATGGCTCCGTACCCTAAACCCTACACCCCTCAACCCTAAACCCTAAACCCCTAAACCCTAAACCCCTAAACCCTAAACTCTAAACCCTAAACCGTCACTGAGGCATCCGTGATTCTGCTGTGGTGGAAATCGTCAAAAGGGAGCGGCTCCACTGCATCAAGATGGCTTCCTGTGAGTGCGGAGGTACTGCTAGGCCCCTAAGGGGAAGGGTGGCTCGAAGTCCAGGTCAGGTGCAAGGTACTGCTACACCTTCCCACTTCAAGGCATGCTGTGCAGGATCTAGAATCCTAAACCCTAAACCCCTAAACCCTAATGGAATCCTAAACCCTGGAATGCCCTGGAACTGCAAATCTGGACTGGCAGCCTTCACGGTAAGGACTCTCAATGTGACGGGGAAAGATCGCATCTGCTGCGGCGACCAAGTCCACATCCACTGTTGCTTGGAATTCTTTGCTGATCATGATGATGATGATGGTGATGATGGCGATGGTGATGGTGTGGTGGTGATCGGAAGAGCATTGTCAGGATGAGTTGCAGTCATAGTCCTAGCCCATAGCCACGGTCATGGGCATCCGAGAGCTCAAAGCATAACATAACAAGCCGTGCTAGTTTTGGAAATGGAGAGAAGACACTAACTAGCTCGTCAGAACAGGGTAAGAAGGCAACAAGAGCCATCGCGTGCTGTAGCCGTCGCAGTCGTAGTCAGGGGTCTTCGTCGGCGGTCGGGAGGCAGCCGCGGATAGACGACTTTGTTTGTTTTCGGAACTTGCAGTAGAGCATCGCCATATATTAACAGTCGGTGGGAATGAGTATGTTCGTCTTAGACAAAATGGTGCTGTTGGCCTTCGTCTGACTTTCTTTCTGTCACAGTCCTGACCATGCTTCTTTTGCGTGAAGGTCTGCTGGCCTGAGAAGTTTGCAGCAACAAAACCGCAAACCCCGGAAGTTTTGCTGGTTTGTTCCGTTGTTTCGCATAGCGTCATATAGTACCGTGAAGTATCGCATCCGTGTCGGATCGTATCGTATGTGCTCTCCAGAAACAGAGTGGAGGTAAGCCTTCCAAGCACCGAAAGCCCAGGCTTAAACTTGCAAGAGAACAACTTTGGCGACGAGGGCGTGGAGGCCGGGTGACGTGGTTCCCCGTGTCCGGCCAAGAAATGAAGGCTTGTCGCTAGGGAGAGCGCCGTGGGCTGATATTGTCAGTGACAGTCCGCCTTTCCCACCCTAAACCCCAAACCCCTAA